CTGTGACACCCACCCTTTGACACAGAGGGCCACCCTGTTGTGTGTGACCATTCCCTCCAGCAGCCACCCTGCCCACCCTAAAAAGGGAAATCTTGTCATGCTGAGAGGGAGCGGGCAAGTCAGCTTGGTTCCTGGGATATTGCCAATGCGGAAAAGTCTGGGAACAAATGACAAGGCCCTTTCCACTGGAGGTGCTATGGATGTGGGTATGCATGATAAATAAAAATGCACCTGAATTCCACCAGTGAAAGCTGGGGGTGACACAAGCCATGGAATGTCCCCGGAAATATGGGCAGGCTCAGGGAAGGCGCCGTAACCGGCATGTGGAACGGGCCACTAAATATAGCACTGGAAACTGCAATCAGGAATGTATTTTCTGCAATGCTAACCAATTAGAGGGACTGACATTAAACTGGAAATCAGTTTCCACCAATTTCCATACTGCAGCTGTCACTTTTCTGGAAAACCAACCCGCCTTTCCTAGAAAGAGCTGTTGAAACTGGGTGTCTGCAAGTGACCTGAGGTGCTGGTATTGCAACAGGGATGCTGTGGCTGCACCACTGGAAGGACTCTAAAAGAAAATAAGGGCCTTCAAGGCCTTAGAGCTGCTGCTGAATCAATTACTTATATTTTTATTTAGAAGTAGCATAGAGCAGACTTCTCTTTTACACACTAATGTCTGCTGCTAAGGCTATTTCACAGCCAAAGGAGTATCTGCCGTGCTGGCAGAGCTCTGCCTGTCACTAAATGCCACTGATCAAAGGCTTTCAAAGCTGGGCTGGGTATTCAGTTTGTGCCTCAGAGCTGTGCCAGGAGGACCTGACCTGCACCAGTTGTGGTGGCAGGGGCCACCCTCGGCTCAGGAGTTACCTGAGCTGATGCAACAGCACAGCATTCAAACCAGGACTAGTAGCGTGTGTGCTCTGCAAGCTCACAATAAAAGCTAATTTCTCTGTTCAACCAGCAGTCAAACGCTGCTGAATGATGTTTAGGATGTACCATCTCATACTGCAATGGCTAGTTATGGAATAGTACTTTCTGGATGGGACCATAACTTCCACCCAGAAACGATGCAGAGGCTGAGCAGTGCATTTTAGCAACTCAAAATCCTTTTTAGACTGATAAAGCCAGGCTGCTTTTAGCTATTAGTGATCACAGTAACCTCTCAGGGAGTCTTGCTTTCTTTTAATGTACAAGAAGAGCAGTTTATGTTAATCAAGGAGAAAACCCCCAGCATTTCGTTGCAGATGGTTTGGAGTTATGCCAGGAGCATCTGAGGATGGGGAAAGCAGTCACGCTCAGTGCTTTGATTCTCGCTGACAGGCACTGTACCAGAGAAAAAAGCACAGCATCCCTTTTGAATTACAATGTGTGAATTACTATATTAAAGTAATTCAAGCACTGACACCATCAAGTGAACATGACACCAGCTGTGTTTTGGTTGGTGTAGTGGGGGGTTGGACAAGATGATCTCCAGAGGCTCCTTTGAACCCCAGCCACTCTGTGGTTCTGTAGGCAAACACATGGAGGTACTTGGAACTAAAGCTAGAAAGATTTTGCCTTTCTGTGACATGTAGTCAAGCCTCCAGTTGCCAGAGTAGGACCTGCAGCCCCAAGATAAGCTGCTGGCCCAAGCACCCAGAGATGGGGATAGCTCCCCTGGCTGAAGCCAGGCAGCAGAGGAAGCACTGTGTGACCTGAGGAGGGCTGGGGAAGGAGGCTGGTGCTTGGGGCTGCTCTCTTGATCTGAGTACCTTTCTTTGTACTTCCAGCAGTGAATAATCTTAATGGTTAAAGTCAGTAAGACAGACACTTGGTTTACATACAGAGGGGTGCCAGAGTCCACTGGGACTTCATTACACAGCTTTAAGTATTTTTCTGTTCAAGATTACAATAAAAAGTGTAAAATGTCTTCATAGAATGGTTTGGAAGTGACCTTAATGATCATCTCTTTCTGATCCCCCTGCCATGGGCAGGGACACCTTCTGGTAGACCAAGTTGCTCAAAGCTCCATCCTTGAAGACTTCCAGGGATGGGGCATCCATAGCTTCCCTGGGCAACCTGTGCCAGTGCCTCACCACCCTCACAGTGAAGATTTTCTTCCTAGTATCTAATCTAAACCTGACATTTTTACTTTAGTGATGAAAAAGATTTCAGTCTCTAGAGAAAAAAAAAAATCAAGAACTACTCTTGGGACCACAAAAGGCACTTTATATGATTCAATAAGATAAATCTTACCTGAGGTCATTCCTGGAATTACATGCCTCATGGTGGGCATGACTTATCCTTCTACTCACAGCACTTTCTCAAGATGGGAACTTACTCTCCAAGCCCTGTTCAAATGCTGAGTTAGTTTGCATCATGGGATAAGTCATCTACCACTTCATGCTCAGAACGTGCAGGCAAGATAAACACTTGATATTCACCTAAAAGTGAATCATAAAGCACATATCCGAATTTTATGTACTTCAGGAGATGACAGATGACTGGAAGCTCTAGTTCCTTGCTCTAGAGGACTGAGAGGTCCCTTAGAGAAACTACAACAGAAGACCTTGGTCTAGATCTGTAATAAGTTTTAGCAGAATGGGCCCCAAAATCATAGAATCATAAAATCAGCTGGGTTGGAAAGGACCTCTGAGATCATCAGGTCCAACCCTTTTTTTTTTTTGGAAATCCAGATGTCGAGGGAGCTGGTTTTGTAAAGATAGTTCCACATAAGTGTTTCATTAGCAGCACATACCTCCTCAGCATGTTGGCTAAAGGACAAATTAAACAGCAACAAGAAAGTCAAAACTTATTTGTCTTCTAAAGGACCAGTGTCTATATCCTAAATAAAACAAGGCATCTTACCCAAAGGTAGCTGAAGATTAGAGATTTGGAAACTCCCTCCATGGGTTCCTATCACCTGGGATGTTTATTTATGTATTTTATCTGGTGATTATGCGTACCCAAAACACATGGAACTGCCCAGAGAGTAGGGAGCAGAATCTGGGACTTTCTCTTGCTCAGAGATCACTAGGCAATAAATTGAAGGACTTCCACAAGCTCTCCATGAACTTCTCCTGAGACACCAGAATGCCCAGTGAGCACAGCTCCTTTTCCCAGAGCTTGGAATTAGCTGGAGGTTAAAAGTCCTGCTACAGGTGAAGAACTGACTGTGATTCTTCTCAAAGACCAGTGCTAATTATATTCCACACACCCTGGGGAAGTGCTCAGCCAAAGAGTTATTGTACAAAACCACTGCAGCAGCAGTGCTTCCTCTGGCTGCACTTCAGAAGGGACAGAGCAGCAACTTCCCACTTGTTCAGTGCTCTTCCCAGCTTTGTTTTCAAAATAAAAGCTAATCCCAATGTCCCAAGAGTCCTAAAATTCCTGGATTAAATTTTATTTGGAGCCTCAAAGTTTTATGCCAAACAATGCAGTGCTTAGGTCCCTTAGGTCTAATCCCTTATATATCAGCCTGTGAAAAAAGTAAAAATACTATGTAATATGCTACGAAAAACAAATTAATCTTCTGTAAGCAAAAGTTTGACTGGGCTAAGCATAACTCCCAACCTAGTCCAGAAAGGAAGATGAAACAAGTGGTCTTATTTAGTGCTCAGAACTAGTTACATTTTACTGTTTAATCACATGCCTGATTCTGGACCAATGTATGATATAGAATGATAAACTTCACTGAAGACACGAAAGGAAGAAGGGCATGAGAAATATTACCCTTGGACCAGAACAGAGGACTGACAAATGGAACTGGCTATTTCAGGATGATCTGCTTAATGGAGTAGAACTATAGGAAATGAAGATGAAGGCCTAAGGGTAAAAATTGAGTGATACAGGAAAATGGAGATCAAGTGTGAGTTTGGCATGCATAGGATTAGGCTGCAAATATTAAGGGATTGTCTGCTAATCCCTAATTATTCCATTATGTACATTACCTGTTATGCATTGGTTACTGTTGCTATCATCTTTTTCATCTGAGTGATTATTTGGACTATCAGGATAACTATTAGAAACTACAGCATCAAATGCAAATTAAAACTGAAGAGCTAAATGAACAGGTGCTTCAAGTCTTTCCCTCACAATAACATCTGTGTTCCCTAACAAGAGGTTTAAGAGAATAAAGATTTTATTGTGTTCTTGCTGTGGTTTGGTTTTAAGCATTTAGAGCAATTTCTCTGATGCAAATCAAGTTTAGCAAGGCACCAACACAATTTTTCCACAGAATATATCTGTACCAATGGTCCTGTAAAACAGCTCAGTCTAGAAGGTATCATTCACCTTGAAAAGTAATAAGCATTTACTATACACCAAGTAAATTCTAGTCACCAGTCCACCTCAATTTTACATATCTTTTAAGTATCAAGCATTTCCTAGCTAAAAAAAAAATAAAATAAACATTCCCTCCTTCTACTTGAAAGCATATTATCCATAGTCATAAGATTCTAAGTATTAATTTAATCTCATATTACCTTAACTGAAAAGAAAAAGTATATAATTAGAAACCCTCTAAAAGCAGGCACTCATTCCTAGTCATTTATAGGTAGATTGAAGCTAAATACCTTTGGGTTTGAAAACTAATTTTTCAAAATAAGCATTTATTTTAAACTTTCAGTCTCCAAAGTCGAAACAGAAAAACCTGAGCTGAATTCAGAGCATTTGTGACTCTGTAAGAGGAGCTACTGCAGCTCCAGTTCCTACCACACTCTAGCATTACACTTCAGCATTAAACTAATTGTAATGACACATGTACACCTCTTGGAATCCACATTCTGACAGAGTTACCTGAATGGCATTGTCAAGGCTTCATATCAAAAACTTTACCTGCCCCTACTCCTACTAAGAAGAAAAGGAGAATGCTCTGAAGCTCAGGGTTGAAGTGGGTCCTTCATTATTCTTCTCCAGGTATTGTATCATCCAAATAATTCACTCAGTAAGAGGGAGAAATTGAGACAGCACTTGAAAAACATTCAATTGTATTTAATATTTAAATACCTAAGGCTAGCAGTGCTACACAAATTGCATGATGAGTTCTAGTGAAATAAAACATGATTTCAGTACAAAAGCCAGAGGAAAAAAATGCTCACGCTTTCCAGAGGCAGTGAGGTATTTTAACCATACAAAGTCTGAATGTCCAAAACCACCTGCGGATCTTCTCCTCTGCACTGTGCTCTCTGCTGAATGTTTGGCATTCAATACTTCTCTCTTCCTGTGTGTGTTTTTCAAGAGGCCAAGGAAAAGTGCATAACCATCTTTAAAGATTAAGAGCTTGTTACATCTCTCTTGCCACGTTTGAACAAAATGTTCAACCACTTTCTCAAGTCAGTCTGGTGTATGGTGGAGGTTTGGATGTGTCTTCCTCTGCATCCACATCCTGGGCTGGAAACCGATCTGGGAAGCTAAAAATTCTGCCCCCAGAGCCTGCGTGGGGAGGGAAAGAGGAAACCATTAAACCTGATGTAGACACCTGCACAAAATCCTGAGTTCCTTTTGCCTCCCTTTTGGTTATCAGGATTTTGGCCTGGGAGGTAAAGCTTTTTCAGAATGTTCATTATCCCTGGGGTACTCACTTTGTACAGCACAAACCATTTCCACAGCCTGATTTTGGTCCTCGGTAGGTTGCAACCATTCCTATGAAAGAAACAGCACCATCAAATACCTCATCTGTGAATTTGTTCAAGATACACCTGAATTCCTTTTAAATGTCTGTGCAGTCCACTCCTCCTAACAAGTTTAGCTTGAAAGTTTACAGCAACCTCCCGTTACCCACTCAGTGTCTTTAGCCAAGGACAGCTGCCCTGTGGCCTGGACCCATTATTTCCTTACCAAATCAGATGATCAGAGGTACATGTTTAATAACACAGCATAGAATTATTCTAGCAGAGAAGTAGCTGGTATTTACTGAGCTCACTTAGCAGAGACCTGCAGCAGCTGCCCCATCACTTGAGGCAGAGTCCTTATAAATCAGCAGTAAATGTGGCATGTCATCATCCCCCCTACACTTCACACACAGTACAGGAGATATTTTTATTACTGAATTTGAAGTTCTAGTGTGTAAGTACCAGTAAGTCTTCGAAATGCTGTACCAGGAGCAATTGTTGGTTTAAGGGTGAGAGGAGCACTTTTTGAGGAATTCATAGGAATTGGGGCCACAGTAGCAAAAACGGTTTGGAAAATAGAGATAACTTATGTTAAGTTGTACATTAGACTAAATAAGAGAGAGGTAGTAAAAGAAAAAAAAAGTAAGTATAAACGTCTTCTAACATCCACTTAATTTCTTAGAATTAGCCCTGGATGACTGAGGTGAAGCTGAGACTAGGTTTATAGAAGTAAAACACATCTTCTCCCCAGCTTCTCCCCCTCCCACCCCCCCTCAGTAGAAATAAACTTGTGCCCTGGCCTCTTCACTCACCATCCCAGTCACGCTGTCGTAGCAGGAGCAGCGTGGAAGGCTCCGGCACCCCAAGTAAGCCATGGCCAGCACAAAAAAGGCACTGCAGATAGATGCAGCCAGCATGGCTATGTTAGCACCCTTGACCACCTTACTGAGTATGAACCTCTGCAAACAGAAAAGGAGACGTTAAAGCCACATTCAAAAAGTGAAACTCTCCACCAAAAATAGTCTAATGACTGCAAGAATGCTGAGATCGCATCGTAGGAGATTGACCGTAGTCAGTCAGTGTTATTAAAGGCTTTTCTTTCTGAGTTCTGGAGGACAAGCCAAGTGTGATCCTCAAACAGAACAAGGAGTAAAATAAGGCTACTGTTTAAATGTGAGATGCTATGCAGTGGCATCAGGTTTGGAAATAGCTTTAACCATGAGTAGAAACCCAAGGAATGGCTGCTCTTCTTCACACTGAAAATGAGAAATGTCTTCTTGCTGTCCTGCACCTTAGCAGCCTGACATTTTGATTTGTCCTGCACTAAACTAATGGTCAGCTTCATCCACCTGGGATGCCTTCACCCCCACAGAGAGCCACTGCTTGTGCCAGGTTTGAGGCACAAAAGGGCTAACTCATTCCTTCTCTTCAGCTTTACTGAGGAGGATACACTTGAAATAATACCCAGGTTTAACCAGCTGACCTGTAACTGCTGTAACTTTATCACCTAAAGTGCATGCTGGAAAGGATTCAAGCCTAGCAATTGCTGTCCCAAACCAGGCCAGGAATGCAGTCAGCACCATTTCATGAGCAGCACCAGTATTTTTTCATGGCTCAATCCACAGCCTTTTGCACTCAGAAGCGATAGCAGCTAACCTGGCCTAATGTGCACACCTCCTGGAATTCTGGTTCTGTCTATAAGTTGTGCCTGGTACTGTCTGCAGATTAAGGGTGTCTAGTTCCCCGGAAATTATCATTGTATCAATACTTACAGTATGGATAACATGGACTGGGGCAGAACTCAGCTCCTCCTCTTCACCATAGTTCAGTGTGAAGGAGCTATAACCTATTACGATGAGGATGGCAACACAAGAGATTATGGAAGCACCTATCAGTACATTCACCTAGACAGAGAATTTTAGGGAGAAAAAGAATTAAAGCTATCCTCTTGCAAATGTACTAACAAGCATTATAATTACTAACCTTTGACCTCCCATAACACAACAATGTACCTAGTAGCAACAGTCACTAGGAAGCCAAACACAAAGCAGTAAAGGTTTCCAGGATACCGAATTTGTGAGCTACAGCTGAGTGCCAAATCTAAATCACAGGTGCTACCCCAAGACTCTGTCCTTAGAGATCTTGTATTTACATACAATATCCCCCCTTGGAGTTTGCATGGCTGGAGGGACCTGCCTGGGGAGTGCAAGCCTTTGTTTCCTACTTTAGTGTAAACAGCCCTTAACAACATGAAGGACCATCAAAAGAAAAGCATTCGAAACCAAGGGCTTTTACAGATTTTTGCTTGTTATTAGACCCAGTGCCTGTCTGCTGCAGCAGAAAGCGAGGTAACACTGCATCCTCCTTTTGCTTATGAACACAGCAGCTCTTCTGCAGATAACTCAAAGAAATGGGCTCTTAATCCTGCAGAAGGACCAGTCAGCTCACTCCCTACTCAGATAGTTTTTGACTGCCCCAGCATCTTGCCCCTGCCCCATACACACACAACCACCCATCTGCCCCTCCAGCTTACAAGGATTGGATTCTTCCTCTGAGAGGAGAACAAAGCCAGCACGCCTGGGACTCCCATCACCTGCAGAGCACAAAAGGAGTTGGTAACTGGGAGACCAGTATCAGATTCCTAAGATAAACTACTACAGCGCAGATGAAAGTCCTTGTTTTCAAGGCTTGGATCAGAGTAACTGTTGGGTGAGAAATGGGAAGAGAATTGCTCATTTCTTCTGTTTTCCTCTGCAGCATCTCCAGGACATGCGTGACGTGCATCTTGCCCACTTGCTTCTCCCATGGCCTTGCTACCTCTGACCGGAGCTTTATGGCTCTGGCCAAATAATGAAACTGATGGCATAAGTCTGATTTAAAGTGCTAAAAATGTGCACCGCTTTCCCAAGTCCACACGCCTTTTGCAGAGGAAAGAAAGAAATTACTGAAAGGAGATGGGCAGCCTCTGGACTGAAGAGAGCTCTTTAGCACAATTTCCTTGCAGTGTGGCTCAGCAGGGTCCTGAATGCCAGGGAGCAGGGACCTCCAGTGCAGTACAGAGGATTAGGGGCACTGTGCTGTGGGACACAGATCATCACCCAGATGTTCATCTACCTGATGTGAGGATGAAGTGTTCCCCTCCTCATCTTTGGTGGCTTCCCTGTGGTCACTATTCTTCTGCAACAAACCCCCTCTCACTTGTCACTATGCCCCATTTCCTACATTATCGAGTAGAAATGAATTTAATTTAGCTCCTTCAGAGGGAAGTCTGTTTGCACTCTTCTGCCTATATCATGATAAGGAAACTTTAACTGGGTTCAAAGCAGAAAACCAGGGAAGAGCTAGCAAGAAATCCTGGCTTCCCTCCCACTCCCAATATAAGTGCTAGAAGATAGAGGGGGGGGGGAGGAAGCATAGAAATTATAGTACAACTTTACCATCCCAGCCCAAATTGGAGCTCTGGTTCTGCCCAGCTGAGACTCTGTTCTGAAAATGCCATCTATGAACCCGCTGACGACGCACACCGTGCTGAGGGCTATCTGGAACATCCCCAGCACCACCATGTTCCTCTGGTTGAAGATGAAGTATCGATAGCGATCCATTCTGCTCCGAGTCACACATAAATCACGGAGGCTGGAGAGCGGCGCTGTGGCCTTCCAGGGGAGGAAGAACAGCTTTTCCTAGGCGGGAGAGAGAGAGAAGGAACAGGAGCATCAGCACCCGTGGGGCACCGGCTGGTGCGCAGGACCTGTACCAGGAGTACAGAGTTCGTCTGTCTGAGCCAGCGGTGACAGCGACCAAAGGTGAGCGGCCCTTTGGGAAATCCCTGGGCGTGCTGCCTGGCAGGTGCTTGGGACAGCGCTCCTGACGCTTCCGGAGAGGAAGGTGGGACCGTCACCTCCACCACTGTCCTTTTCCCTGCGGGGTTTCTGCTGCCCCGAGAGGCGCGGCGGGTGCCTGGCTTCTGTTCCATTTGGAAGTTAAGCTCCGCACCTCTCCAGGAAGGCGCCAGGGCAGAGCCCCAGCTCTCCTCGCTAGTGCCGGTCACCGAACGTCCCGTCCGGGGGCGGCTCCAGCTCCGCGTCCCGTGTCCTCCCGTGTCCTCCCGTGTCCCGTCCCGGTCCCGCCGGCCGGGAGGCGCCGCCCCGCCCTGCGCGCTCACCTGTGGCCGGGCAGGGGCCGGGAAAACTCCGGCTCCGCTTCCGGGGGAAAAGAGTCCCGAGTGTTATCCGGACGAAAAGAGCCCGGCGAGGCCGGGAGAGCCTCCGCAGTGCCGGCCGGGAGCCGTGCAGGGGCCGGGAGCTGTGCAGGGACGGCGCTGATCCTGCTCCGCCCGCCTCGCCTCGCCCTCCGCGGGGAGCGGCCGCCCCCGCCCCGGCCCCGGGCGGGACCGCGGGCTGCCCCGGGCACTCCTGAGCTGCCGGGACCGGGCACTCCACCCATCCCTTCTCTACAGCAACTTGGTTTTTTTTTTGTTTGTTTGTGTTTTTTTCTTCCCAGCTGCAACCTTAAGTGCTGCTTCACACGACACACACACGCAATACTGTGTGTTGGGGAAGCCGGTACAGGTTGCCCAGAAAGTTTGTTGGATGTCCCATCCCTGGAAGTGTTTTAGTGTTTAACACTTAAGTATTTAAGAGTTGGATGGGGCTTTGAGTAACCTGGTCTAGTGAAAGGCGTCCCTTCCCATGACAGAGGGGTGGAACTGGATGATCTTTAAGGTCCCCCCAGGCAAAGGCTCCCCTGGCACATCAGTGCCCGCCCTCCATTGGAAAGAGCACAAGAACCTGTGCTGGTCAACGGAAAGGGACTTGGCGGTGCTGGTTGATAGAACATGAGCCAGCAGTGTGCCCAGGTGGCCAAGAAGGCCAATGGCATCCTGGCCTGGATCAGCAATAGTGTGGCCAGCAGGACCAGGGAGTGATCATCCCCCTGTACTTGGCACTGGCGAGGCCACACCTTGAGTACTGCGTTCAGTTTTAGGCCCCTCACTTTAAAAAGGACACTGATGTGCTGGAGTGTGTTCAGAGAAGGGCAACAAGGCTTGTGAAGGGTCTAGAAAACATGTCTTATGAGGAAGGGCTGAGGGAACTCGGTTTGTTTAGCCTGGAGGAGATTCAGGGGGGACCTCACTGCTCTCTACAACTCCCTGACAGGAGGCTGTAGTGGGGTGGGGTCGGTCTCTTCTACCATGCCTGCAGTGAGAGGATTAGAGGAAATGGCCTTAAGCTGAGACAGGGGAGACTCAGATTAGATATTAATTTTTTTTTTTTCACTGTTAGGGTGACCAGGCACTGGAAAAGGTTGCCCGGGGAGGTAGTGGAGTCACCATTCCTGGAGGTGTCTAAGAGACATCTGGCATTGGGTAATATTGTTTAGTGGTTTGGAGGTTACAGTGGTAGTGTCGGGTGGGATGGTTGGACTGGATGATCTTGAGGGTGTCCTCCAACCTGGATGATTCTATGATTCTATCCCACCCAAGCACCTCCAGTCAAATCCTAGCAAGCATGGCACTAAAGCCTACCTACCCCTTAAACATTTTTAAGAAATCAATTCACAGGTTAGGTATAATTTCTTTAAATAAACCCACTGCACCTCCACAGTGTACTGGGTTACTACACCAGCGTAGGACTGGAACACAGCCAGTTTGGGTGAAGCCAGCCCATGGCACCATCCACAATCCCAGTGTCACTTCCCACACAGCTTGCAAATACACCTCAAGCACTGATCCTTCCAGCTCGAGGACTGTGAAGGTTCAAGGGGCAATGTCAAGGCCAAACAAGTCCTCTCCGCATCTTTGACCCTACAGGGGGTCCACACATCCCTTTGCACACAGGCATGAGAGGCCAAGATCACAGCAAGTGTGATTACAGAGGACAGCAAGGCAGGCACTGAAGCACTGAGGAAGGCAGGGCAGCACTGAAAGCGCTGTCCCTTTCCTCACCACTCACCCAGCAGGACGTGTACATGGAATTAGGAGACAGAGGAGTAGCTTACCTGCCTGGAAGGCACAGCTGCTGCACATCCAACTGCCTCAGAGAAAAACATACCAGTGCACATTCACGTCTTAAAATACAATTGTTAAAGACACTTTAGCATATACAAGGAGGATATTCTTCCAAAACACAACACAACTGAAGCCCATGTTATGTGCATTGAAAAACAGAGAAGTGAATAAGCAGCAAAGGTGCCAGGAAAAAATGCCAAAGCAGTGGTGTCAGGAGTGTTCTGCTTTTCATTCAGTATTTATATAACACGGCCTAGACATGTGCCAACTGTGTGAAATCCTGCTCCCCTCCATCAGCAACAACCGTGGTCACACAGCACACACAAGCCGGGGGAGAGGTCAGAGGATGCCCAAAAATGCGACATGCAAATAACAAGGAGAGACAACACTTCTTTGTTGAATATTTTAATATCTGCATTGCCTTCATAGCGCAATTAAAGCAATCTTTAAAATTCACTTATTACAAATGTTTGTCAAGTCTGTTTTTCCCCAGAAACACTTTTCTTGCTTCCTTGCACATACGCCCAAACACACTATAAAAACCTCATTCATAACATCAAAGGAAGGGCAATCATCATTCATGTAAACATCTTTCTTAGAGTTATCCATTTTTAAAAGTCATGAATAAACCTACAGATGTTCAGTAAGGCTCATAGTTCGAGTACAAATGTCATAAAACACCTATCAAGTACTGTATACAAGTTAAATACTCCGGGGTTAACCGCTAACACGTGTATAAGCTTACCCCAAAGATTATTCTTTAGCACTTAGTTCTTCAGAACAGAGACACCCAGTAATTATGGGCTAAGGAGTATTAAAATAGCAGAAGGCCCAGCAGAAACTGTTAAGTAATACACAATTTTAGTCTGGATCTTAGCTCAGAGTTAAATTCATTACAGTCACAGTAGGAAAAGTTTTCTAGGAGGGAATCTGCAGAAAGGAGGGATGGGTCGTTTGTACAATATCACGAAGGGACAAGCTGAGAGGTATGTCTTGAAGATGTGACTAGCCTTGCTATTGCAATTATTTATGGCAGCTGCTTGTAATGCTGCATAAATACTTTCCCAAATAGCAGAAACGACCATTTGTAATTCTAAGGATCATTTGTTGCATCTCCCCTTAAAAAAATAGTTATCTACTTACTGGTATTCAATTACACGTGTGTCTTACAAAAAGACATCCTTTTAAATTTGGTTTAGATCTCACTGGAACTTTTTTGTTTAAATATTCATTCTACCATGAAAATATTTCATACAAACATCATTTTACATACAAACGTTAAAACTTGTGAAGAGGGTCTTCCCGCACTCGTGATTTTATGGCTTGAGCGTTTAATTGCTTACAATTTTTGTATATATATTTCTCCTAGGGGGAAAAAATATAGTTACAGTAAAACTGGTAAGAGGAAAAGAGCAGGAGCTTCCATTGCCCGAAGACAGAAGAGCGCCACGAGGAGGGTCCATTCAACAGATAGTGACCTTAGTGTTCAAAACCTTTGATCTGGGGCAAGTAAACATGCACTCATTCTTGCACCTTTTTATTTTATTTTATTTTATTTTTTTTATTTAAAAATCCCTTATAAGACTGCTTAGAAATTCATTGTCCAAAAAATAGAGTTCTCATGTTTCCAGTACACAAAGCAAAAGGAACAAGTTCACCCCAGGGCACGGGTGAGCGCGGAGCCCACCGACACCCACGGGCAAAGCTGCCCCCACGCCTGCTCTCCTCGCCCCGATGCTCTCAGCACACGACAGCGCAGCGCAAAGTGAGGAAGAGGCGTCTAATGCAGCACCCCAGCATGTAAGGAGACACTTCAGTAACATTGTTTTCAAAACAATTTGGTTTTTCTTAAGTGCATGGAGGTGAATTCCTCAGGCACCCGCGGCTCCAGCGACTCTGCTGTGCCACAGGAAAACAAAGCGGCAGACAGCCGGCTCTGTACGACATGTTACCTCATCGCAACGGCAGCATTTTCCTAGAAGACTATCAAATTGAGTGAAAGGACAAAAATCACAGAGGTCTCTGGGACAGAAGTGACACTGTACAGTCCCTGGTGCAACCCAAGCAGTGAGCACTGGTTTTGACTGAGGGATAAGGGCAGCCAGCTGGGAAGGAAACAGAAAAGTGGTAATTTCCACCATTTCTCGGTTTCTCTCGCCAGACAGGTTATGTTGGCTATTCTGCTCCTCCAGTGCCTGGCAGAGGGTGTGAAATCCCTGATGGAGCTCTTGCTTACACACCAGCAACAGGTTACAACCCTGGGAAAGAAACCCCAGCCACTGCCAACTGTGTGCAACGCTGCAAGCTCTGCATCCGGAAGGACTGCGCTGAGGAGAAGGCTGCCCAGTCACTCCCAAAACATGCAGCCCCGCACGGCCGAGCAGCTGACCTCCAAAAGGTCCCAAAACCTGCACGGGGAGTTGCCCAGGAGTGATTAAAAGCACGGGCCATCCTAGTGGGTACCGTTGCAACTGTGGAAAAAGTCAAAAAGCTCTCACAGCTCTCACTCCAACTGCTGAAGAGCATCATCCACATATTTCCTTTGACTTTTTCAACAGTTAAGACTTGCAGGTCTTTATGAAGGGTAGGTTTTTATAATTACTACAAAAAATAAAACCAAAACAGGAAAAAAAGCCTTTTTAGATTTGTGAAGGAAAACCAGGTATTTTAATAGATCCCCAAAAGTAAAATTATAGCTTGAAACTCAACTTGAGACACCCCCTCCACGGCTTAAGCCCTTTTCCTTCTTATCCAGAGGAGTGACCCAGCAGCAGGTAGCTCTCAGCTCTAACTTCTCATGCTCTCTTGTCTCCAAGATTAATCACTTCTCCAGAAAACTGGGCTTCTGTATTCTTGGTGACAAAACACCGTGCTGCCACAGCAGGAAGATCCAATTCAGATTTATGGTTTTTTTTAAGAGACCATCAGCAGCCCCTAATACAGGTTGAGACAGGCTCCTTCTCATAAGGAACTCAGGTAACAACCCTCCCATCACAGAGTAGCCACGTGCAGCACTGCAGACTAAAGGCAAACATTGGGAACTGATCCCTCCCTGGAAAGAGCAATTCCAAGTTCTCCTATCCTAATCACAACGAGTATTCTGAGAGCCAGCTGCTCACCCAGGCTCAGCTGACAGGCATCAGCTCTCCTTCCAGTTTCTGTGCCGACAGGACAGGTCCTTGGCCAGACTCTTGAGAAGTGGAGCTTCTTTATTTATTGCATATTCACCAACAGTCAG